GCCGTCTCCAATGTTCTTTTAGAGAATTTGGCAGTACGTCCAACTGGCCTCATAACCGCAGACCACGTGTAACCACGCGTGACCAGGACCTCCACATTCGGCTTCTTCACCTGCGGGATCATCTGAGACGAGCAACCCGGACAGCTGATGAAACTGAGGAGTATTTCTGTATGTAATGAAAACTCTTTCTGATTGGCTGGGCCTGGCTCCCCAGTGGGTGGGCCTGGCTTCCAAGTGGGTAGGCCTATGCCCTTCCAGGCCCAGCCAGGGCCTGATGAATTTATATCAATTGACTGATTTCCTTATATGAACTGTAACTCGGTAAAATCATTGAAATTGTTGCATGTTGCGTTTATATTTTTGTTCAGTATAGGTACTCCACAATACTAACCTAATTGACAGAGTGAAAAGAACGAAGCCTGTACAGAATAAAGATATTCCAAAACATGCATCCTGTTTGCAACAAGGCACTAAAGTAATACTGAAAAAAAAAATGGCTAAGCAATTCACTTTTCGTTCTGAATACCAAGTCTTATGTTTGGGGAAAGTCCAACACATATTTTCAAGCATAGTGGTGGCTGCATCAGGTTATGGGTATGCTTGTAATTGTTAAGGACTGGGGAGTTTTTCAGGATAAAAAAGAAACGGAATGGAGCTAAGCACAGACAAAATCCTAGAGGAAAACCTGGTTCAGTCTGCTTTCCACCAGACACTGGGAGATTAATTCACCTTTCAGCAGGACAATAACCTAAAACAAAAGGCCAAATCTACACTGGAGATGCTTACCAAGAAGACGGTGAATGTTCCTGAGTGGCCGAGTTACAGTTTTGACTTAAATGTGCTTGAAAATCTATGGCAAGACTTGAAAATGGTTGTCTAGCAATGATCAACAACCAATTTTACAGAGCTTGAAGTATTTTGAAAATAATAATGGGCAAATGTTGCACAATCTAGTTGTGGAAAGCTCTTATAGACTTATCCAGAAAGACTCACAGCTATAATCGCTGCCAAAGGTGCTTCTACAAAGTATTGACTCAGGGGTGTGAATACTTATGTCAATTAGATATTTCTGTATTTCATTTTCAATACATTTGATAACATTTCTAAAAACATGTTTTCACTTTGTCTTTATGGGGTATTGCGTGTAGATATTAATTAATATATTAGATGGGTGAGAAGAAAAATCATTTTAATCAATTTTGAATTCAGGCTGTATCACAACAAAATGTGGAATAAGTCAAGGGGTACGAATACTTTCTGAAGGCACTGTATGTCTGTCCTTTGCCTTGGTTATAAAAGCATGGGGTGGTTTGACATGGAATAAAAAACAAACATATGAGAGATGCTACCCTATGCATGTTACAGTACGAAGACAAATGCCTGCAGTGCACGCTGCCAGACAATGTCAGAGAAGGACGTTATAATAATGGCAATGAACAGTCAATGTATTGTGTTGACACAGAATCTGTTATTCCATATAGGATTATAGGATGACTGTATTTAGACATTAAATGTTATCACGCACATAGCCTAGATGTCCCTGCAAGAATCATTATTAGATAATGAGGCGGGTTGGCAGCCTTATCTGGGTAAAACCTTCCCCTGCTGGCGTTTAATTGTTGATGAAATATCAAATGGCTCATTGGCTCTCGTGTTGCTGGGCTCATTGGCTTTTATGGCATCCCTAGGCAGGGCAGGGGGGTAGGACCCGGAGCATGGCTGCTTCTCCTCTAACCATGTCTCAGAGAGCTCAATTTCTCTAAAGCCTTGTTCACACTGCAGGCGTTAATGCTAAAATCAGTTTTTTGTTTTTGAAATCAGTTTTTGAATACTGACTGGCCCAACTGTACCAGGCAGATGGCGTTGTGTGGGCGAGCTGTTTGCTGATGTCAACGTTGTGAACCGAGTGCCCCATGGTGGCGGTGGGGTTATGGTATGGGCAGGCATAAGCTACGGACAACAAACATAATTGCATTTTATCGATGGCAATTTGAATGCACAGAGATACCATGACGAGATCCTGAGGCCCATTGTCGTGCCATTCATCTGCCACCATCACCTCATGTTTCAGCATGATAATGCATGGCCCCTTATCGCAAGGATCTGTACACAATTCCTGGAAGCTAAAAATGTCCCAGTTCTTCCATGGCCTGCATACTCACCAGACATGTCACCCATTGAGCATGTTTGGGATGCTTTGGATCGACGTGTACGACAGCGTGTTCCAGTTTCCGCCAATATCCAACAAATTTGCACAGCCATTGGGGAGTGGGACAACATTCCACAGTCCACGATCAACAGCCTGATCAACTCTTGTGAAGGAGATGTGCTGCGCTGCATGAGGCAAATGGTGGTCACACCAGATACTGACTGTTTTTCTGATCCACGGCCCTAACTTTTTTTTAAAGGTATCTGTGACCAAGATGCATATCTGTATTCCCAGTCATGTGAAATCCATAGATTAGGACCTAATTAATATATTTCAATTTCCTTATGAACTGTAACTCAGTAAAATCTTTGAAATTGTTGCATGTTGCATTTATTTTTGTTTAGTGTAGGTCAGTAGTAGGGAAGCCATCCAGGATCTGGCGTCAGATGGCAGCTTATCTCCATAGCGGGTAGTGCCCTTCCTCATTGGTGTCATGGTGTACTGTAGCAGGACGACTGGTCTCCAATTACTGATATTTTAGTTGTATGTATTTTTGCAATGTCATAAGATCCAGGCTAAAATGAAATAACGTGGGGTTTCAGTGACTTGTACAGTATGTCTGTAATTTGACAATTGTCATCTAGCCTAAATCATAGACTGCCTTACTGGCTGGTTTATTTTGAAGCATGTTCATTGTATTTATACTTAAAAAATACAACTGCTTTCGCATTAGGAGAAGAAAATGTTGTTTAGTTTAGCCCTTCTTCCCTCTGACAAGAACGTTCTATTGTTTCCCTGAATCATCTCTGGTTTGTTATATCAGTAGCAGGTCACCTCAGCCTCAGGTCAGCTCACCTGAGACCAATACAGAAGTAGGCCTATTTTGTTTTACATTTAGGCTAATCATTGATGTGTTTAATTATTTTTCTGAGTACCATAGTTTTTGTGTTAGTTAGCCTAGTATGTAAATCTATAGGCCTAATTATTCATGTGAACTATTTTTGTTTGTGTGGTTAATGGTTCACTTGTTGGTGAAATTCAAAAGACCTTTGTCCTTATAAAATTATGTGTTTCTAGGAAACAAACAGCTATCAACATTTCGACATTAGCTAGCCTATAGCCTTTTTGTTAGCAGAAATAGGCTCTAGTCTAGCAGGTCATACTAGCGCATTGGTGCACTTCAACTAACCAAATTTACTTCATTTATTTATTAAAGTAGAAAGTATTGAGATTCTTTCTCATACTTTGGAACCACCTTCATAGAATTTGGATTTCGCACATATAACTTCTTTAAAGCAATGTCTTTGCTTTGGTCAAAAGGAAGTGGGGCTACATGCAGGCTGTGAGTGGCGGCACTAACCACTAGACCACCCAAGTCATATTGCTCACCTCTTGAGGTCTAGATAAAGATAAGAGTGAAGATAAGAGTGCCATAATGCAGTGGTATTACAAAAATGTCAGCGGGGAACCCATTCTTCTTGGCAGAATTTATTTTTCGCAATAATTTCTTGTGACCCCACCTCAAATCTAATGACACAACCTTAAAATCTGTACATTTTTATTTTTACATCAACAAATAACCTTAAATTCATTCATTACATTTTCTAAATGAAAATAAACAAATAAATTAGGCCTACTCAATAAAATATAATTTTTCTAATTATCTTTCTCAAAAACGTTAGTATATTGTCCCATATAATAATCTGTACTCTTACATTTTGGCGACCCCACTGCAGTTCAGGGTCACGACCCCGACTTTGAATACCGCTGCCATATAGAATGTTGCGCTTGGTTTCTTTCCTGTATCATTTGGCACACTGTGTGAGCTTCGTACCATAGCTCAGTCTGTCCACTTCAACTAGGCCTAGCCTGATTCTTTCATGACATGCACTACTGCGTCTGCGTTTATCTATTAATGGCTTTGCACTTCTTCTTTCTGTCTATCCCAAATGTTCTTCTCTAATGACTCATCGCCTCTCTCTCTCTCTCTCTCTCTGTCTCTCTCTCTCTCTCTCTCTCTCTGTTTAAATCACTGGACAGCTCAGTAACAAAAGAAAACTGGCTTCCCTCATCACTCTTTTCTTGTGAAATAGTCATCCTTCATTGTCACATCTGTTTTCAGTCAATATTGTACATATTACTGTTTTTAGTGCCCCGATGACGCATAAGTGACACATTCGCTGTAAAATAATGCTAATGTTAAACATCCTGGGTTCCTGGAATGGTACTTACCCTTACATGTTGAGCTAGATGTTGATCATTCCTTTTCACTGGTCTGACTAACGAGCCACTAAGTGCCACAGCAAAGCAACACTCTGTGACGTCCATGTGCATCTGGTCACCAGTGAATCATGCTTAAGTGTTTATCAGAGAGGACTAGCCTTGTTTTCACCCTGCTGTCCTCATCTGACAGAAACTGTGATGGCTTCCCCAGGCTTGGTTATTTTGTTGTATTAAGATTTGTATATCTGTTTGAATGCAGTGCCAAAAAGCGCGTAATTATAATCAAACTCACATATCTGACATTCCTTGTTTTTCTGCCAGTGATGGGCAGCAAAAATAAGGCGTATATTATTTTGGATGTTTTGTGGGTTATAAGTTCTCTTTTCAAAAAGCAGGATAACTTGTGCATGTTTTCTTCCCTGAGAGAAGACAAGTTATATTTATTTCCTGATGATAACAAGTTCTTTCAGGCTATTCATAGAAACTCAGTCATTTCTGAGAACTCACTCAATGCACCACATAACTGCTTGAATGCAGAACTGTAAGCTTCTATCTAGACCCTTTCTCTATTGTCTTGGTTTCCTCGACAGGGGCCTGAGCACGGAGCGCCGACGATGCTAGGGCTACCATGGGCAGCGTCACACTGCGCTATTTCTGCTATGGCTGCCTCTTCACCTCCGTGACCTGGTCCGTCCTGCTCTTCCTCTACTTCAGCCTGGGCCAAGACGGCGGCCGGCCCACCTTCAGGTATGTGCCCATCCAGGGGCCCCAGGCCCACCGCTTCCAGCCCCGTTTCACCAGGAGCCCTGGAGGAGGGCCAGAACAAGGCATCACGGCAGTCCCTGCAGGAGGCAACAAACAGGCCAATCTCTCTCCGGAGATGGGTAAGTGAGCCCTCCTTCAGAGCACAAAACTTGAAATGACCCCCATTGGTCAAAGATGATTTCACTCTTATCTTTAGACAGAACTTTATAGGAGTGGACATGAACATTTATGTTACCATAGCAGTTTATATAAAGGAGCTGGCCTGGAAGAAAATCTCAAAATGGATGTCAGTTAGTTAACGAAGCTCATGTGAACTGCATCGTAATCAACTCCTATGGACTGTAGGCCTGTTGCCTTCAGAGTGTCACATACACCCAGAATGATGAGCTCTTAAAGCTCCACAAGCTCCATCGTACCCATGAGATTCTGGAATGGCTTAGGACGTTTTGACAGTCTGTAGTCTTCATGGGGTCCCAAAGGGAAGTTTGTAATGTTGGTTTGCTCCCATGTCAACCAAAAAAACATTTAACAGGCAGGCAGAGCGATGTGAAAACGATCAACTCCAAAGTGTCGCCTAGGCTATTCCACAATGCCTTTATGCATCAAAGCCCATTTATAATTGGACAGTGAGAAACATAGGAACAATCAAGCTAACCGTAACTCATTACAGATTATCATTAAGCAAGTTCGGTTGGCAAACTGTCTGAAAGCAGGTGCGACGACGAAACACAAATGGTGCATTGCAGCAATGAAAAAGCAATTTTGAAATGGTTTTGAATTGGAGTGAGGCCTTCAGCTGGCTGAGGGAGTTCATCAGCAAAGTAAACCTAAGCCATTACCACACACTCAGGATGTAGGCCCCTTGTGTTACCATGGCAATGTGGATGCATCAATAGAATCCTCACACTGACCAACTACCACAAGTACCCAATACAATACAATAGTACAAGTACTATTCTGAACGATTGAATCCACTTGCATCCTTTTTTCCCCCATCATCCCGTCTTTTCCTTTTCAGGTATGATTTTTAATGAGGAAGACCAGGAGGTGCGAGACATGGGTTATCACAAGCACGCTTTCAACGTACTGATCAGCAATCGACTAGGCTACCACAGAGACCTCCCCGACACTAGGGACGACAAGTGAGTTGAGAGCGTGACAGCGTGTTTGTGTGCGTGTGTGTGCATGGCATATATATGGGTTTATTGACCCAGTCAGAGTGAACAGCTGACACTGACTCAGCACTTTGCAAGCCATTGAATGAAGGTCGACGGTAGCCAAAGGCTAAATGGGAAATCATGTCAATCTCTCTCTGCCTGGCTTGTAGCAATTACGAAATCAAAGGACAAGCCAAAGCATCTGTCTAGAAATGAATTGATTTAGCACTGGTCCGTGGCTAACAAGTAGGCCTGCAGGTTGGAGTAATCCCACATGTTATGTGTTACGATGAGTTGCTTGTAAATGTTTTAGGAGAGTTTGTAAATCCTGCTTACTCTGCAGACATGTTAGGATATGGCAGAGAGTGAGTAGTTAAGGCATAGTATTTTACAGCAAAGGGTAAAAACTGTTAACATGTCCAAGGGGCAAGGCTTTCACAACTTTCACAAGGTTGAGGAAAGTTCTGTAGGTGTGACAGTCATGAGCCAAATGTTGCATTACAAGCTGCACAGTGAAAGAGCATGAGTGTAGGGTGCTACGAAAGTAAGGTCAAAACTTTGGTTTCTTTGTCATTAAAAGTCACAGACTGAATCATTAGATTGTTCTCTACATCATTAGATTTTTCTTGTCATTTTAATCTCCAGATCCTTGGCTATATTGGCGATCAATCTACGTTGAGAGGGGGCCGTTTCTATGGCGATTTAAAGTGAAGGACTCAAATACACAATGAAAACATGAACAGATTGTCTTCGCGGAGGGTGGATATTGATATTCAGTCTGTTAGCTTTGTAAATAAAATAAATATTTAGTCCCTGTTTTGTATTCTGCGGATTTCATTTAGAAAAAGCCTGTGTTTTCATTCACAAACCTGCAGCCACTAGCTAAGTTAACTTGTCAGTTGACGTTCGAAGTTAGCACTGTTCTGCCACGGAGCAGCACCACAGAGTTCTATTGAGCAGTGACCACTTGTTAATCATGTCCGTGATGACATTCCATTCACTATAAACATGCTAAATTCTCAGAGTAAGTCATCTACCTTCTGAACCATAAATGATAGAGACATTGGGGTTGGACTGTTGTTTTTTTGACGCAATTCTCTATTGAATGGACATTGAATTAATTAATCATTTTATGAACACCCTAATGAGTGTTGTATGCATGTCATTATCAAAGATGATCTGATCCTAGTTCTGTTTGTCCCTGTAGAACTATTGCTTGGTGTGCTAACATGCAATATGTGTTGATCGTGAATCCCCTCCCTCTCTCAGGTGCCGAGACATGATCTATCCTCTGTCCCTCCCCGCGGCCAGCGTAGTGATCTGCTTCTTCAACGAGGCGTTCTCCGCCCTCCTGCGCACCGTGCACAGTGTCCTGGATCGCACGCCGGCCTACCTGCTGCATGAGATTATACTGGTGGATGACAGCAGTGAACTAGGCAAGCTGCTCATTCCAGTTGTGTATCTCTATTTAGGACGTGAACTCTATTGGTTTGTTCAGGCTCGCCGGAGCGACGCAGACCATAACAACGGCCAGTAAATGATTGGATGCTGTCATGGAATGTGTCGGTCTACAGTGTGTGTGCTTCAATAACCGACTTGGAGAACAAACGCAGGCTACGGTATTGTATTGACATATTGAAAAAGAGTTTTGTCTGTATCAACTGAAAAGTTTGTCAAGGGTCTTATGAGTAGGCTTAGATAGCCTTGTAAAATAGAGCTTGGATCTCAATGGGATCTACATGTATAAATAAAGGATAAATAAAGATAACAGCTCCATCTGAAAGCATCTCTCCTGTCCCTCCACCACAGCTGACCTGAAGGAAGATCTAGACAGCTATGTCCAACAGCACAACCTCCAGGGCAAGGTCAAGGTGGTCCGTAACGAGAAGAGAGAGGGACTGATCCGAGGGAGGGTGATAGGGGCTTCTCATGCCACCGGTGAGCCCCCCCAAACCATAACTCTTCACATAATGGGTAACACTTTATATTTAATAAAACATTTATAAACAGTGTTTTATGAATTGACTTACCATTTTTAAATAATTTATTCTACATTTTGTAAATGTCAATAAGCAATCTCTAAACAGTAATTTACACATGTATAAACACTATTTTAATGAAGCTGCCTTTTTTGTCAACATGCTAGGTTAGCTGATGCTAAAGCAGCCCATTGGATTCAATGAAAATGTGATGCCTAGTGTTGAGGTGAGTTGCTGCCGGAGGTGTTGTGGAATCCAATGGGCTGCTTTAGCATTAGCAAAAATGCTGACGAAAAAGGCAGTTTAATTAAAATAATGTTTATAAATGCTTAAATGACTATTTAGAGATTGCTTATTGACGTTTACAAATGTAGGAACAATGATTAATACATGGTAAGTAAACTCTTTACAAACTGTTTAATGGTTTATTAAGGGACCTTAATATAAAAAGTATTACCCACTGATGTAACAATATTCACACTGAGACAGGGATCCCATTTCTGACACCATGTAACAATATTCACACAGACAGGGATCCCATTTCTGACACCATGTAACAATATTCACACAGACAGGGATCCCATTTTGACACCATGTAACAATATTCACACAGACAGGGATCCCATTTCTGACACCATGTAACAAAATATTAACACTGATACATGGTGTCAGAAATGGGATCCCTGTATCAGTGTGAATATTGTTACATGGTATCAAAATGGGATCCCTGTATCAGTGTGAATATTGTTACATGGTATCAGAAATGGGATCCCTGTAACAATATTCACACTGAGACAGGGATCCCATTTCTGACACCATGTAGCAATATGCACACTGAGACATGGATGCAGCTTAAATAACTTTAACTTTAAGAAGTTTACTGTAAGTCTTCTGTCAAGTTCAATACAGATGTAATAGTGTTGTATTATAATCAGCAGCAGTATGATATAGGGGACCATGCTACAGATTAACCAAACTGTAGTGTTGTACCCTTATCCCCAAGAAACCCTGATCTGAGAACTCTCCCCATTGTTCTCTGTCCTCTCTCCTGATTGGTGTTTCCTCTCTGAAGGGGAGGTGCTGGTGTTCCTGGATAGCCACTGCGAGGTGAACGAGGCGTGGCTGCAGCCCCTGCTGGCTCCCATCCAGCGGGACCGCAAAACAGTGGTGTGTCCCATCATCGACATCATTAGCGCCGACACCCTGGCCTACAGCCCCTCGCCCATCGTCCGTGGGGGCTTCAACTGGGGGCTGCACTTCAAGTGGGACCCCGTGCCCGCGTCAGAACTCAACAGTCCCGAAGGAGCAGTGGGCACAATCAGGTAACCAACCCCCTGGCGGGTAACCATAGAGGCAACCAACCAGACCTGGGTTCAAATACATACAGTGCCTTGCAAAAGTATTCAGACCCCTTGGATTTCTTCACATTTTGTTACATTTGTTACATTTTTAGTAATTTAGCAGACGCTCTTATCCAGAGCGACTTACAGGAGCAATTAGGGTTAAGTGCCTTGCTCAAGAGCACATCGACAGATTTTCACCTAGTCGGCTCGGGGATTCGAACCAGCGACCTTTCGATTACTGGCCCAACGCTCTTAACCACTAAGCTACCTGCCGCAAATTGGGATTAAAATTAATAGTCATTTTTTGGTCAACAATCTACACAAAATACTTTAATGTCAAAGTGAAGATTTTTTTAAAATATAGTTGTTGCATAAGTATTCAGCTCCCTGAGTCAATACATGTTAGAAACACCTTTGGCATCGATTACTGTGAGTCTTCTTGGGGAAGTCTATAAGAGCTTTGCACACCTGGATTGTGCAATATTTGCCCATTATTCTTTTCAAAGGTCTGTCAAGATGTTGGGGATTAATTTTCAAGACTTGCCATAGAATTTCAAGGAGATTTAAGTCAAAACTGTAACTTGTCTACTCAGGAACATTCACTGTCTTCTTGGTAATCAACTCTAGTGTAGATTTGGCCTTTTGTTGTAGGTTATTGATTTTATTTTTTGATTTTATTAGGATTTATTTTAGCCCAGGGGCTAGTCTTCCAAGAGTCCTTAAGAAATGTAAAAAGCAGAAATGAGAAAAAATTCCTGTTACCTATACATATGAGTTATTTTGTACTATTTGCAGTCTCTTTAACATTTGCAACCCTTGCATTACTCCAGACCACAGAGTAGTAGTTAATTTGACGATGAATGAGAGATTTGTTTTAAAATTAGCTCTGGAATATACACTGAGTATTCAAAACATTAAGAACCCCTGCTATTTCCATGACAGACTGACCAGGTGAAAGCTATGATCCCTTATTGATGTCACTTGATAAATCCACTTCAATCAGTGTAGATGAAGGGGAGTAGACAGGTTAAAGTAGGATTATTAAGCCTTGAGACAATTGAGATTTACATTTTAGTCATTTAGCAGACGCTCTTATCCAGAGCGACTTACAGTTAGTGAATACATTTTTTATTTTTATACTGGCCCCCCGTGGGAATCAAACCCACAACCCTGGCGTTGCAAACGCCATGCTCTATCAACTGAGCTACATCCCTGCCGGCCATTCCCTCCCCTACCCTGGACGACGCTGGGCCAATTGTGCGCCGCCCATGAGTCTCCCGGTCGCGGCCGGCTGCGACAGAGCCTGGATTCGAACCAGGATCTCTAGTGGCACAGTTAGCACTGCGATTCAGTGCCTTAGACCACTGCGCCACTCAGGAGACATGGATTGTGTATGTGTGTCATTCAGAGGGTGAATGGGCAAGACAAAAGATTTAAGTGCCTTTGAACGGGGTATGATAGTAGGTGCCAGGCGCACCAGTTTGTATCAAGAACTGCAACTCTGCTGGGTTTTCACGCTCAACAGTTTCCTGTGTGTATCAAGCATGATACATCACCAAAAAGACATCCAGACAACTTGACACAACTGTGGGAAGCATTGGAGTCAACATGGGCCAGCATCCCTGTGGAACACTAAAGACACCTTGTAGAGTCCATGCCCCGACGAATTGAGGCTGTTCTGAGGGCAAAAGGGGGAGTGCAACTCAATATTAGGAAAGTGTTCCTAATGTTTGGTATACTCAGTGTATTTTACAATTCTTCTGAGCATACAGGAGGGGCCGATGATTTTGTTGCAGAGCTATGAAATGTGTGATGACCAACAGAGACTGTCTAGCAGCACACCTAACAGCCTCTGAAACCTCTTCTATGGGTGTCCTGCCAACTTTCAGCTGTAAGGACGGTAGTTTCTTACTTCTCCTCAGTTCATCTTAGTCATTGTGATCTAGCTAGAACCTTGTCACTTCCTGTTGAACGCAGAATGAGGGAGAGCTCGGTTTGTTGTTTTGAAAGTGTATTGGAAAGTTTCTTAGTAGCTAGCTAACTTTTGAGTTTGGATCCCACGACGCAGTTGGCATCAGTTGCTGGGACTGCCACCCTCTGTCCAATGGTCCTGCCGACCTAGGGCGGGTCTGAGGAGCTATTTGGCGTAGCAGCTAGCCTAGCTGCGAGCTAGCTGCCTATCAAGCTAGCTGTGTTTTCTTGAGGGCTTAAACGCAGCCCGCGATGCGGTTAGCCATTGTGGCTGGCACTGCGGGTTGTCCCGGGTTTGTGGATGTCTAGATCCCTGCTGTTTGTTGTTGTTGTTTTCAATCTTCCCTGTGACCTGCCCTGTCTGGAACTGCGAGGAGTAACAGCGTGACCTACGTTGCTAGCTACCATGACAAAGACCAAAGCCGGCGGGAATACCGTTGAGGACAGTGGTGTCTCTCAATCACAGGTGAAGGATCTTTTAAACGAACAAAAATAGTTCTACAAGCAGTTGTTACAACAACAAGAAAATAGTTTCAAGTGTTTTCTCCACATGAGATCTGGATGGAGTCTGAGGACAAAGTGAGGGAAATGATCTCTGAGAAATTGAAGATGGACCACAGGAAGATTGAGGTGGAGTGCGCCCACAGGACTGGAAAACCCACCACCGGCCCAGGTGACAGGCCCAGGCCGATAGTGGTCAAGTTCCTGAGATTCAAGGACAAGGTAGCTGTTCTGGAAAGAGCCAATAACTTGAGAGGAATGTGTATCTTCCTCAACGAGGACTATCCTGAAGCTGTATGCCAAAGAGGAAATAACTTATCCCAGCCATGAAAGCTGCCAGAGCGCGTGGGTACATTGCTTACATCCACTATGAAAGGCTCATTGTGTACCCTCCCTCACAAAAGCCTGGAAGGGATGAGCGAGCCAAGCCTATGGGTTCGTATCTTCAACCCTGCAGCACACACACACACACACACACACACACTTACACACACCAATTGATTTTTTTCTCTTGCTTTGTTTGCTGTTTTCCATATTGTGTCTCTGATAAGCTAACCAGGTAAGGGCTGAAAATAGCCAATATTAATATATGTAGCCTTAGAAATAAGGTTCATGAAATCAATAACTTGCTAACATCAGATAACATTAATATATTAGCCATTTCTGAGACTCACTTAGATAATTCATTTGATGATACAGCAGTAGCAATACAAGGATATAACATCTATAGATGAGACAGAAATGCTTATGGGGGTGGTGTTGCTGTATATATTCAGAGCCATATCCCTGTAATGCTTAGATAAGATTTTATGTCAAGTGTTATTGAAGTGTTGTGGTTGCAGGTTCACCTGGCACATCTAAAGCCTTTTCTTTTGGGGTGTTGCTATAGGCCACCAAGTGCTAACAGTCAGCATCTAAATAATGTGTGAAATGCTTGATAGTGTATGTCATGTAAACAGAGAGGTCTACTTTCTTGGGGACCTGAATATTGACTGGTTTTCATCAAGCTGTCTGCTCAAGAGCAAGCCTCTCACTGTAACCAGTGCCTGTAATCTGGTTCAGGGTATTAATCAACCTACCAGGGTGTTTACAAACACTACAGGAACAAGATCATCCACATGTATCGATCACATTTTTACTAATACTGTAGAACTTTGTTCTAAAGCTGTATCCGTACCCATTGGATGCCGTGATCACAATATAGTGGCTATATCCAGGAAAGCCAAAGTTCCAAAAGCTGGGCCTAAAATAGTGGATATGAGATCATACAAAATATTTTGCTGTGACTCTTATGTGGATGATGTAAAAAAAATATTTGTTGGTCTGATGTGATTAATAAGGAGCATCCAGACGCTGCACTTGATGAATTTATGAAATTGCTTCTTCCAATTACTGATAAACATGCACCTTTTAAGAAACTGACTGTTAGAACTGTTAAGGCTCCATGGATTGATGAGGAATTGAAAAACTGTATGGTTGAAAGAGATGGGGCAAAAGGAGTGGCTAATAAGTCTGGCTGCACATCTGACTTACTGCACATTGAGAAATTATGTGACTAAACTCAACAAAAATAAGAAGAAACTGTTATGAAGCCAAGATCAATGATATAAAGAATGATGGAAAAAAGACTTTGGAGTACTTTAAATGAAATTATGGGCAGAAAAACTAATTCATCAGAAAACCATTTGATGTTGCCAATTATTTTAATGATTACTTAATTGGCAAAGTGGGCAAACTTAGGCAGGAAATGCCAACAACGAGCATTCTGCAGCGATACGCCATCCCATCTGGTTTGCGCTTAGTGGGACTATTATTTGTTTTTCGTCAGGACAATGACCCAAAACACACCTCCAGGCTGTGTAAGGGCTATTTGACCAAGAAGGAGAGTGATGGAGTGCTGCATAAGATGACCTGGCCTCCACAATCATCCGACCTCAACCCAATTGAGATGGTTTGGGATGAGTTGGACCGCAGAGTGAAGGAAAAGCAGCCAACAAGTGCTCAGCATATGTGGGAAGACTGTTGGAAAAGCATTCCAGGTGACTACCTCATGAAGCTGGTTGAGAGAATGCCAAGAATGTGCAAAGCTGTCATCAAGGCAAAGGGTGGCTTTGAAGAATCTAAAATCTATTTTCATTTGTTTAACACTTTTTTGGTTACTACATGATTCCATATGTGTTATTTCATAGTTTTGATGTCTTCACTATTATTCTACAATGTAGAAAATAGTAAAAATAAAGAAAAACCCTTGAATGAGTAGGTGTGTCCAAACATTTGACTGGTACTGTACATAGGCTGTGCATGAGTTTCATGTTTGGAGAAGCATTACTTGCATAATCGCATTTGCCGTCACTTTCGAAAACAGTGTTTTCCCGCTAATTGATTGCATTTTGGAACATTCGCACTTATAGCCTACTGCCGTGTGCGCATTGCTGCGCTCATAATGTGAAAAATAAACTATTAGGCTATCAACATTTTAAGCTAAATGATCAGCCTCATTGCTTTTAAAAG